GTGTATACATTCTTGCGCATGACCGTGTCGATCCACGAAAGATTTGAAAGATAGGTTCTCCAATACCATACACAGATCAAATGCATTTTCGATTGATCGATAACTCCCACGACTCGAGAATATCGATGCAAATTGATTACCGATAGCAGTGCGTAGATTTCAGTATCACTATCTTGGACGTGTTCGGATTTGGGCCGATAAATACTTGGGTTAAGGGTATCTATTAGTCGAGCTCACTCGGCTAGGGCATGCTTAATCGTTGATCACAGTTTAGTCTGTAGCTTGATATTGCTGATTTATAATTGGAAACGTAACTTTTGATCAAAATTCATGTTCATTCATGATTGTACAGCATAAGAGAATTGCGTTCGAGCCTCAAGAAATATGCTTTGCCAGTAGGCCACCATTTTAAGTGGTATTTTAAGGGATTCTCGCGCTTAATCGCTCATTGGCTCATGTTGTACGCAGTTTGGTTGGCTACTGTTTTAGCTGTTTTGCCCCGGCAGCTGGATTAGAATTTTGATATAGTAATCGACCGCAGCGTATAATAATTCTTGCGGTTTCATTATGCCAACCACACACCCTTCGACATGCTCGGTGCGCAACCGCCGACTGACAACACATACCACCACCATCACCTCTATTACCATCAGCAGCAGCAGCAGCACCACCACCACCAGTCCTTTCCCTTGCTAGTCGCGCTCGAAAACCGCAAAATGTAGGAGGGTTGAACGTTAATATGCTGAAACACGCCGAAACTGAAAGAAAAGAAAACTCCGCCCTGGTGACAAAAAAGAAATCAACGAATCCATCTCCTCATCCGTATGTGTGTGTGTGTATTAGTGAGGGGACGTCTTACGCTCATGTGGTTAGGCATTGCAATTTTTCACTCAACTTAACCAATTCGAAGGCGCTCCAGCAGGCCTCCAGATGGAGAAGCACCTAGCTTCAAAATATTGCCTCGTCTTTGGCCGCAAATGGCAGCCGCAAGATTTTACCGTACTACTATCGTAGTCTATCGTTCTCTTTTCCGCCTGTACGCATTCACACACGCTATCTCACGTCGTCCCTCTCTCTCTCTCTCTCTCTCTCTCTCTCTCTCGCGCGCTCTTTGAAACTCACTCTCTTTCTCTCTCTCTCTCTTTGACTGCAGCTAGCTGGTACTTGCTGTCGCAGTTGCTCTCGACTCGTTTGGGTGGCAGACACATTCTCTGGTTAGCAGAGGCTCGCCGCAAAGCCGCGCGCCGGTTTCATTTTTTGGCCACCGTCTCGGACTTGCAATCTTGAGGTCTGAGCGTTGCCTGTGTGGTGCCTTTTGTGGGGAGTCTTGGGCATGGTCGCAAGTCGCCTTAGCTACCACCAAACGCGAAATGTTGAGATTTTTTCTTTTCGCTTGAGTCAAAGTCCAAGAACTTCCAAGACATCTTAGGGGTTGCTGGCGCCAAAGAGAAGCAAAAAAAAAGAAGAAATTTAAGAAAAAGAAGACCTTGCATAGACAAAACGAGTAGAGAAGCAGGTCGGCAGCAGCTTCCAGCAGCGAAATTCAACTCAATTTCTTTCGTTTCGTTTCGTATTTTTTTTTGGATTTCACTCCCTGCACCCCCTGTGACCCACTCGTATTTCCAGCGGCACCCTGTTCTCTAAGCAGCTCGCGAAGGTGTTGCGAGTGCCAAAATTGAGCGCTTTTTTCTTCCCGTTTCCAGGGGTTGGAGGGAGCACGGGCATCTTGGCTGACTTAAGTAGTTGGGGTACCAACTTGAAGACATCGTTGCGGCCTTTCTGGCTTGTGGTGTAGTTGACGTTTTTGGTTTCGGTTTCGGTTTTTGGCTTGGCTTTCCGTTCGTCAGCGCTGCTTACGCTGTTGCTGCAGCGTCGATGCCGATGCCGATGCCGATGTTGGCGTCGACGTTGACGTCGCCATCGTTGGCGACGCTGCAGTCGCTGCTGGCGTCGCTGCTGGGACACCACAAGTAAAAACCACTGCTACTGGTTCTCGTGGTAAATGTTAAGCCAAGAAAAAGAATTATATACCCAACGCGGTTGCTTCAAAAACGCAAAAAGAGGCGGCACTCGCACTCCAAATGGCGGTTGGGCTGCGTCGTCGCCATTGACTACAACTCTGACTCCGACTCCGACTCCGACTACGACACTGAGTCCGAGTCCTAGTCCACCTCCGTCTCCGTCTCCGTCTCCACAACTCCGCATCTGCAGCATCTACAACCACATCTACATCCACATTGCCATCGCCATCGACATCGACGTCGCTGCTGCTTCGTCTCGTCCTCGTCCTCGCACTCGTTTTCGTCCTTGTCCACGTCGTGATTATGATGACGCGCCGTTGACTTCGCTGTCGGCGTCGCCAACCGCTCGTAGTGGTCGCGTTCATGGTTACCGCAAAAAAATAGTTTAATATCTCCGTGTCGTTTGATTCGATCGCCAGCCCCAGAGCCCGAAACAGAACCCACAAGTTGCTAAGTGCGACAATCTCAATCTCAATCGCAATCGCATTCTCCAGTTTTATTCGCGGTCCAACCAATCCCGTGTGTGCTCGCGCGTGTGTGTGTGTGTGTGTGTGTATATGTGCGTGTCTGTGTGCTCAACAAATTGTTACATATTAAGTATAATATTTAAATAAATATCACATTTTATAATCCAAATTTTTTTACTGTGCACATTTGTGATATTATTAAAATTGTTATGATACTTCTATTTTTTTTTTGGTGAGCAAAATATAAAAACACAAATTGCAAAAATTACTCTTTAAAATCCCGATATAGCTCGCCTTGTAATAACTGATAACATTGCAATACAAATGTAAGTTAACCCAAGTTGCAGATACAAATTGCTCCTTAAAATATCTTTTACTATAATCAACAGTTACTTTAAGAAACTTGACGGGATTTTTTGAATATGATATGATCAACACTGATCTATGTTTTGCCTTAATCCACTATGAAAGTTATTCTCCAAGCTCCAAGCTGATCAATTGTATATGTTAGTGTTGTATTTTCAAGTATTTCCACATTACAGTTATTTTGTTTTACCGTTAAACAAATATCGAGCAATATAAAAAGGAAACCATTTCATTATGAATTAGGAATTATGTTTTACTAATCAGAATAGTTTATTGATACCTTATTAGGAATGAAAATCGATACAAGAAACAAGCAATCGATTCATTTACATGTTTAATCAGTCTCATATACTGAAGCTGAGGATCATTGGTTGAGGAAATGATTCAGGCCTTAGACTAAAGAATTCAGGTATGACAAGTCTCAGAAAATCCACATAACTACTCATTACGAAAAGTTTAGGTATTTAATACAGAAACCAAACTGGGTATATAATAAAATGATTTATGGTGATTACAAAATTGCAGTATAAACAGGCATCCTTGAAGGCGGTAATTTAATATAAAGGAATTTTCATAAATCTGATCTTTCATTATGCTTAAACGGGAAATTAAACATATTTATTATTAATGGAAATATTTACACTACCACAAGCAAATTTCTGAGGATTGAGCACACGATTTGTGTTGGGGATCTGTCCCAATATGCAGCACTCATGCCAAATTTCTTTTTGTATTGTCTGTTTATCCTTATCCTGTGTGCTGACCTGTGTCCCGTGTCCCGTCTCTGTGGCCACATATGTCGCCACATAGCTACTGGGCGAGCTCATTTGTTGTCCAGCTGCGCCCTGGTTGTCCTGTATGTCCTGCATGCAAAAATCAAAACGGAAGTTGTAAAAAAACGAGTACACATACTACCCTGTAGGTAATATTATTTCAGTATATATACAATCGCATACACACACACCCGGACACTTATATTCGTACAACAAAAAAGTAGTTGTTGAGAGGCACAAAATGCGATGGGATATCCAAGCGCATTGCGGGAGTCGAATTCAATATTATTTATACAGGAAAACTCAGGCAATCTGCTTGGAAAGGTGTGTGTGGCTGTGTGTGTGTGTGTGTGTGTGTGTGTGAATGCACATTGTTGATTTTTTGGCGACCAAACACAAACGGGAAACAGATGGCGCTTTATTATTATTATTTTTTTTATATCATTTTGTTGCGTTATTTTTCAGTGCATTTTTATTTTGTTTATGTTGTTTATTTTTTGTATGTGCCTGTCCGAGTCCGTTTGTACATATCGCAGCTGCAGTTTGTCAGTTCATCATCCATCTTGGTTCCGCAGCGTATTGAATATGATTTTTTAATATTTAATTGAGCTGCACTCGTCGGCGCCGGCTTAAATGCAAATTGTGCGCAAAGGTGTGTGGTTGTCCTGCGAGCACAAAAAAAATTGATAAAAGTCCTCGCTGCAAAATGAAAGAGTTGCGTCACAGAAGTGTTGCATACTTTTGCGGGCAACGGCTTAGAAACGATCGTGTCAAGTTCCAGCTGTTATTTTCAACACGAAATCACCAGAAATACTACTTACATCCTTAGGTGTGTGAAACGTGCCAATAGACTTTATTAAAGTTCAGAAAATAAGAAGAAGTGCCAACAGAAATTCATTTATTATATGTGGGAAACAAATTTGAATTATCTTATTATATGTAAATAATAATTTACGAATGTATGTATTTAATATACTGCATATACCATTTTTTTGCGGTCCCAAGTCTAGTTGCTTGAGCGACAAAGTGATTTCTAAAGGTTTTTTCTCTTCTAAAAGTTAGCTATGTTATTTGTTCCTGTGGCAGACATTTTGTCAGCTGGCAGCCTCGTTTTAATATTAAGCACACTGTAACTGAACTGAGTTCAATTATTTCGAAAGTTAAATTTAAACAAAATATGTTTTGCATTGACGACTTTCTTTTGAGAGAAGCTGAAGTGCTTAAAATAACTAAATTATATTATATATTAAATGAGATTCGACAAATTTCCACAAATCGAATTCTTAGCCCATGTCGCAAATTGGTTAAACACAACGAAATGATCGTAAGCCCAGTCGTATTTTCAAAATCATTAACTCTATTTGCAGATGATCAAGTGTGCGACTTTTTAGATTAGCTAAAACCAAAACAAAGAGGGAAAAGAAACAAAATCAAAGAAGAGAAAGGAGATTAACCATATCGGAATTAGCAGTAATAATGCACATTTCGGCTGAGGTCAGTTCGACCACCTCAAATCAAACACACCAGCAGCAGCAGCAACAACACCAGCAGCTACAACAGCAGCAACATCAGCAGCAGCAACAGGTGACACAGCAGCAGCATACAACTGCTACAACAACAATAACAACAACCAGCAGCACAACGAAGCGACGCAATGTGGAGTCAAATAACAACAACAACAGCACCACCAACAATAACAATAACAACAACAACAACAATAATAATAACAATAGCAGCAAAAGCAAACCCGTGGATACAAGCCCGTATCTGACGCCCGAAAATCTGATCGAACGCACCGTCGATGTCCTGCTTGCCGAACATCCTGGCGAACTTGTCAAAACGGGCTCACCGCACGTGGTAAGTGAGAGGAGAGATGCAATCGATGTACATTTCACAGTCACTCACTCTCTCTCTCTCTCCCTCTCTCTCTGTCGTCTCCTCTCTCTTTAGGTGTGCACAACGCTGCCCACGCACTGGCGCTCCAATAAGACGCTGCCCATTGCCTTTAAGGTGCTGGCCCTGGGCGAGGTCATGGATGGCACCATTGTCACCATACGTGCCGGCAACGATGAGAACTTTTGTGGTGAGCTGCGCAACTGTACCGCCGTGATGAAGAATCAGGTGGCCAAATTCAACGATCTTCGATTTGTGGGTCGCAGCGGCCGAGGTAAGTCTACAATCCAGCAATAACATGGGTTAGAGAAGTGTTCAATTGAAATGAAATTGATTTTTTATTTGTGGTTTAGTAATGACATAGTTAAGTTTGACCCCGTAAATACATACGATTCTTAAGCTCAGAAAAGTATGCTTAAAAGATGATATCGCAGAAGAGGAAGCATCTGTTTGAATTGAATCAGTCGCTCTTTGATGAACACCTTGTTCATTAAATGTTCTTTCTAAAGACAATCCTAATTACATCGATTTACAAAGCTGTGAGTGAAGTTATCGAGAAAAAGATATAAGCTTGGTGTTCGGAATATATATTTTAGCTTCGATTTCAAATTTGAAGTGTCTACATCTTTTAGTCCATTCGATACAGCCATGGCAGTCAGTCCGCCTGTATGAGCAAGTCTGAGATATTTATATCTGATCGGGGATGCTTTCTTATGTCTGTTACATACTTTTGCACAACTTCATTATACCCACTTAGACATAATTAATGGGTTTCTTCATAATCACTGATGCGCTAGAATCGTTTTAAATAGTAAGTAAATTGCACAGTTCTGACCAGAACATCATAAATCTGCGCTGACCTGAACTGAAAAATACGCCAGGGCACAAGTAATTTAAATATTGTCGAGATATTCTGACAAATGGCATCAATTGAACTTGAAGCAAGTTCATAATGTTGAACGTCTGATTGTCCAATTGTGTAAAGCGTAAAGAGCACCTGGCAAGTAGCGCTCATTAAGAGAAATTTGAAATTTGTAGTGCTGAAATGAAATGTTGAGCTGAGCAGAAGTGAAGTGAGATGGCGAAGGACACATAGCGCACTGATAATACCATTCAACGTATCATTTGGCTTGATTGTCTGCTTCCTGTCTACGCCCCCCGGATACTTGTAGCATATTGCATAGCATTCATATCGCAGCACACCACGCACCACGCACCACCGCATACATCATCAAAAAGCGGCGGGCAAACTTTTTAGCTTGGCTTCCGCTCATATTGCAATGAATGCCGTTTACTTATCGACTTGGCTTTCGACTTGGCTTCGGCTTCGGCTTTGGCGTCTGTCTGGGCTTTAGCTCCTGGCTTTTTTTTTTCTTTTACTGCGTCAACAAATAAGATAAGTAGTCTGTAGTTAATTTTTATATGTCTATTCAGGGGGCGCCGCCTTGACAGTTGTCAATTTTCTTTGCTTTTCGCAGTGTGTGTGGGTGTGCTTTTTCGCGTTTTTTTTTGTGTGTGGCGTTATTGCTGTTCATTTCGTCAATTTATCACGAACGCAATTTAAAAATCAAATCGAGGGTGACAGACGACATACTGTGATAGAATTTTTTTTGCCTCGATGTGCGTGGGCCTGTGCCCTGTGTCCTGACCCAGGGCCACGGCGAACCAAATTAAATCAGCGTAACTGTTTATTCAAATCCCCAAACATGGCTAACAACAGTGGCGGCAACTTTTGCATTTTTTTTCTTTTTGCTGCCTTTTCGCTTGCCTTCTTTATCATTTTTGTTGCTGCTTTCGTCAAGTTATTTTTCTTTTTCGGGGCGCGTCATTTTCCAGATCCCGGCATGTTTAAGTGCGCGCTTTGCCGCGGCATTTGACAATTTGCTCATTAAGTTTGTCTGACCCCAACCATGCAGACGCTCTTGGTTTGGGGTTGCTACGCTTTGGTTTTGGCCTTTTCCTCTATCTCTGTGAGTGTTGTGTGTGTTTTCTTTTTTTTTTGTTTACTTGCCGCTTGCACCCTCATCAGCATCGACAGATTCTTGTTGGCATTTTTAAACGTTTCAAGTGGCAAATAATTCCTTGGGATTTACTTGCAAATCTTTTTTTAAACATTTGATTATGGGTCCCGGTTACGGTTACGGTTCGCTCGTTTTCCCTACCCTCTCCACCACTACCCTTCTGCACCGGCCTATCACTTTTTACTAATTATCAGAAAAAAATATAAAAAAAATTGTGCTCGCAATTGCAATTGAAAGCAGCGGCAAATGTTGTACAAATGGATTTAAATTATCTGGCGACGCTTTTCGTCCTTTTTGCTGCGACTCATTCCACGTATTTGTAATGCGCTACAAAAGGATTACGTGGGTCAAGTCCCCACCTCTATCGGTCCTGCACCTCACACTAGTCCCCATGTTTGTAAATATTTGCTTAATTTCAATTAGCAAACAAATGCAAATCCCTTGTACTAGAAAAAGTACAATTATTGTTGCTTTTGTTGTAGTTGTTGTTGTTGTTGCTGATGTTGTTACAACTAATACCACTTGCAGTCGTCAAGGTTGCAGACGACAAATGCCCTGGATCTGATACATATATATGTGCAGCCTACGGTTCAACGGACATTCAAGCGCCTAGCGGGGGCTGCTCATAAAATAATTTTAAATGCAAATCAAGCTATCAATAAATGATCAGTAGTAAGATATAAGATCCTAAAAGGAATGTTGCAGTGGGAATCTGCAAGTTTAGTTAAACTCCTGTAAATATTAATTTACTTTATTTATTATTTGACAACAAAGAAGATGCTTTAGAAACATAAACAACAAAATCAATCAGGGATATTAAATTGATTAAAATTATTTAGCCATAGAAGACATTTTTGTTTTTTTAATTTTAAAGAGTTAGTTATCTGTAGCAGACATTACTATTTCTTTTACCTCTTAAATATAATCAAATTTTGAATTTTTTTCTGCAATTTAATTTTATACGAAGGTGCGTAGCATCCCTCGCCGCTTAGGACTTGAAGTTTGGGGGATGAGCTAGCATTTTTGTGCACTTGTAATTTTAATGATGTGTACTATGCTGCGTATGCGTAATGTGGGCGCAATTAGATAAAATGGCGGCGGCATCGACAGTTGCAACTGCAACAACAGCAGCAGCAGAAGCAGCAGCAGCAGCGGCATCAGCAGCTGCAGTTGCATTCAAGCGGAAACTGCATAATCCACACACATGGGAAATGCATTTGTCCGCTGTCTACTAATGAATTAAAATCTTCTGGACGGCAACGGAAATGGGGCAGCCCGAGAGCACATGTAATTATTGTTGCTTTATATGTATGCGCAGATGTAGATGTGTTTGTGTAAATGCAATGTAAATGAGATATGCGTTGCATGTTGCACATTGATGTGTAAGCACTTTGAAGTGCATTACCAAAGTGCATTAGCAGCAGCAGAAGCAGCAGATGCAGCAGATGCAGCAAAACAGCAGCTAAGTTTCTTATCATTGTCGTTGTTGTTGTTGTTGTTATTGTTGTTGCTGTTGTTGCTGCATTTACGATAATATGTTAATTAACTGCACGTTGGCATTCGCTGTGATTATGGCATGCTTATCGTGCAGTTGATTCTGACGCCTGCCACCAGAGACTTGAGTTTTGATGATGTGTCTCTTGTTGCGCGGCAACAAGCATTGCTTGTTCACAGTTCGTGTTTAGCGGATAGGGACCGTTAAAGTCCTGAATATCTGCATGTCTCAATCAAACGGATACTGCAATTCATTAGTTAAATGCACTTGAGTCCATTGCAATATGTGAAATTATTTGGTAATTGTGCCTACATCAAATAGATTATGAATGGGTGCTTCAACCTGTGCTTTGGTCTTGGCTAAATAGCTATCAAGCCGCAGCCAAAGTGCTACGCACTTATTAAAATCTTAAATCATTGGAATAATTAATTAAATTTTCAATGTGCCTTGCATGAAACGGTGTCTTAAGTGCATTAAATACTAATTAAAATATTTGCATTTGACACACATCTACGATATGGAGAATAAGACTTCAACACAAGGATGCTCTTCTGGCTGTGAGATATCATGTAACCACATTCTTACCTTGAAAGCTATGCGTCTACTAAAAAAAGGAAAGAATTGTAATTTGAAAACCGCTCCTTAAGCGAATTTTTAGCATACTCGTAAATCATGTTTTCAAATTTAAATACAGCAAAGAGACAATGCTTTCGAAAATCGGTTTACCATTGTCAAAGTTATGCAAGTGGGTAGTTTTTAGCCATTCTTTAATGCGACTTTGCAGGGTAGAATCAATGCATTGTTTACCAAGCTAATAAATATCATAATTTTCTAGCTGGATTTTAATATGTTCAAATATATTTCGAATATATTGTATGTATTGTAATTGCTTCTCATGTGGAAGGTACAATAAGTCAAAGCTAATGTAATCACTTGTATCCAAAATGCACGAGCAGTGGAAGTGGGTTTTAGCCCCCCAAACAAGTTAACAAGGGCTCTTTCATGGAGTGAATAAACCTAAGGATGATTTAAGGTACTGTGCGGGCAGCAGGCAGCAGGCAGCTGGAAGCTGGCGAGTAAATAATATGTTAGCATACTTATTTTGGGGCGTATTATTTTACTTTGGCACTGGGGCCTTTGCATCTCCATCTTAAAGCTTCCGGCATCCATTAAACTTCATTAAAAATTAAATATGCGCCACAGCGTTGACTGCTGCCATCTGGCAACTGCCAACTGGCAACTACCTTTTTTTTTTGGTTTCTTAGTGCTGCTGCTGCTGCTGCAAAGCTGTTTGACTGCGTGGCTGGGCGTGGCAGTTTGATCTTCTGCTGATCCTAGGCGCCCGCCTCTTGCCCATGGAACCCTTTTCTGGCATAGCTAGCATCAATTTGCTGCCTGAAAATGCTTAAGACTTTTAATGAGATGAGGGCGAAATTTCATTATGAAGTTGCCTGGGGATTTGCACGGCAACAGCATCTGCAGCAGTCCAAGATGCTTTAGCTTACCCCTACCACTATTACCCGTTTCCCAGCACTCAGTCCATCCCCGCTCTCGCACTCAGTTACTCACTCACTCACTCAGTCAGTCAGTCAGTCACTCACTCATTTGCTGTGCTTGGCTTGACTGGGTGTGGTTGCGAACGGTAACCTCGTTAAGCTTAATTAATAGCAGCAATGTGATAAACACCCGGCCAAAATGCTTCCACAGAGGCCGACGTCGCCATTTTGTGCGCCCAGTGCGACTGGCTAAAGTTTTTGC